TGTACATTTGTATGCATCTCTATCACTCTGCTGTGTTTGGTATGTACATCGGGTCCATTCGTCTGTTCGTCTCATTTTCCCTCTCGTGTTGTTTTTCCTACAGAATGATGAGGTGGCGGGAGGGGGAGGGGGGGGTGTCCCTTCTTCGTCGCCATTTGCATACGAGAGGTTGTTTCACGGGATGCCACACACACTAATACACTCGATCCCTGCTACACCCACTCAGACACTCAGTGTGTGTGACAACTAAAGATAGAATGCAGACAGAGACGAGCGTGGGTAATAAAGACACAAATATCACCGGAGACAGACAAGAGACAGAAAGGTGGACATCCGGGTGTCAGCATCCAGTGACATCACAGGTGTAGAGAAAAAGCAGCAGCCGGATACAAATAACTCACGTTAGAAGACGCGCAAAGTGTTTTATCTGGAGTCAGTGTGTTGTGATGGATGAGCGACTGAACGAGCGCTTGATAGAGGAACGAGACAGTAACGACCAAACTCAGTTAGCTCCACTGAGTGTGTCTGCGTGGGGCGAAGCCTCCGCCCATCACTTACAGGATGTACACTCATAAATCCTGATTGTTTTAGACAATGATGAATCGCAAACAGGTAGAGGTGCACACACACACGCACACACACACACGGAGCACTCAGTCACATAGACACCTGTATGGTAGCCGGGTTGTTTGCGTAAGTAAAGAGCTTAATAAAGTCTCACATCTGAGAAAACAGCGGTGGCACAGTCTAGACACTGACAGACAGGACACACACACACTGCAGACCCCAATTAGCTGACCCTAAACTTAACATACACACTCCTTTGGTCTCTCTTTCTCTCTCACACGTCTCCTCTGTCACCCCATCTCCCCCCAATCATGTGCTAAGAATATCACTTTCCTAGCTGGACAGGTTTTGGGCGACTTGACTTTATATAAAGCTACAAAAAAATACATGATTTTGATATTAAAGTCATAATATTAAAGGAATAAACTTGTTATATTATGAAAAGAAATTTGGAATATAACAAGAATTAAGTTGTAATATTACAAAAATAAAGTTGTTAAAGTTTAGAGAACAACATTGTAATTTTAGGCAGAAATCAGTCTGTCACTTGTTAAACTGAAAAATGTGGCGCACCTTGTTAAGTTATACTTCAGTAGAAGTTTCACAAATAACTAAATGCGTATTCTTTTGGCACATCAGCACCACATCATCATGAGTATCAGGACTTTGAAAAGATTGTGTAAGACACTGTCTCCTCTGAAGAGAGAACCACACAGACTTTGAGGAAGTTGCCTCTTTTGTGGAGGAGAAAATGTTTGGTAGAGTTCAACTGCAACGCCATCGTTAGTTAAATTCCTTTAGTTAGTGATATTTAAAGGGGTTTCATAGTTTCTCAAGAACAATGAGTTTGGTTAAAGGTTTCAGATCCAAGAGGAGTGGGACTTTGTCGAGCTTGCTGGCTATTTCTTGAAATGTTTTCCCTTTATCCTTGAGTTTTTCCTATTTAAATCTGGACTTAATTATTTTAATATTACGACTATTATTCTCAAAATATCGGATCACAGAATTCTTTGTTGTATGGCCCGACAATATTTCAGATCCAGGGGTAAAGCAAAAGGGGACACTGGCCCCTGAAGGAACGACTTAAATGTGTCACCTCACTGAATCAGGAAATGTACATGGATGTGTAACATATTGGCCCCTCTGTGTAAATCCTTAATGGCCCCTGATTAGGAAAATCCTTGATCCACTACTGTGCTGTCATGATAAAGGGATAGTTTTACTGAAATATGTGTTAGGAATTACGAAATCCCACTGCTAGCTGTATGCTAAATATGAAGCTACAGCTAGCTCTTGGTTAGCTTGGCTTAAAGATTTAAATCAGCTAGCATAGCCGTGTTCAGTTGCAACCAAAGTCCTATATCAACACCTCTGGAGCTCACTGATTAAAGCCTCTTGTATTTCGTTTGTTAAATGAAAAGACCTCTCATCGTAAAAGCATTGTTGGAGCCAGGTGCAAAGCAGTGAAATTAGGTGAATGTGAATTATCGCGCATTAGAGTTTGGACCTTCTGTGGGAAGCTGCACTCGTTGTAATGGAGACGTTAGCCTGAACCCGAGTTACTTCCTCTGGTCAACACTTGGCCTCCGTTCACTCCGAGCCCTGTTGCTGGTGTTCCTCATGCGAAACCTCTTTACAGCTTGAAATCTAATCTCTCTCTTCGCTTCCTCCGACCTTTGGCTACAACTGTGGTTTTGGAGGGAGAAGAGTCTGGGGGCTTCTTCCACGAGGTTAACGTCGAACCGTGACCGCAGCCTCTGCCGCTCTTCCATCTTTGCTTCGTCTCGCCGTTGACCGCAACCATGCTGAAACTACTGTCTGAGCCTTCAGTCTTCTGTCATCCCGTCATCCCTCCATCCAACACACATACTGGGGTTTGCTTTAGCCACTGTGCTGCTGCTATTGATGTCGGACAGCTCGGGTGTGTTTGGAAATCTTTACATGGGATTTTGTGGCCAGACTGTGTCAAGTGGACGTTGCTCCGCAGCCAGACAAACAGACTGAAAGCACACACTGTAAAGTACGAAGCTGCGTCAACAAACAGCCAGTGTGTTCACCTTGATCTGTCATTACCCTCCTCTGCTCGCACACAGACACACACTGAGGGACACCGGTGTGTATAAACCAGAGCCAGAGGCAGCATAACAGCATCAAAGATTGAACGGTTTGCGGCGTGAGGAAATTACTGCTCCACCTCGGTCTGGCAGGATGTCATCAGAGGCGTGGGTGGCGGAGGGATGTCGGGGCCCTGGTGGGAGAAAGTGGGACAAAAGGGGGAGGAATCAAACCGTACAGGGAGGGTTAGTACCTATCATTAACTACTCTGACGTCATGGCACAACACTGGAATTGGCCTAAGAGAAGGTTTGGATGTGTCCGGAGAAAGTTTGGATATAAATTTGCATGGACTTGTCCATTTGGCCGCAGCCTTGGGACCGAGACGTGACCTGAAGTTTAGGGTTCAACTCAGCAACTGAGGGGAAGCTATTTTGAATCCACTGGTGCTGGAGTTCAAATTGTTTCATATTTGACATCATTTCCAGGATTTTTCTGTCAAACAATTAAATCCATTGACTCGGTGAAAATGTATATTAGACTTTTGGTAATTCAAGTGTTCATTATAAGCTATTTAAACTCATATAATTCACAACTTCCTTCAAAAATCTGGCGACCCTGCCTGATTTACAGCATAACAAATCTCCTGGCCGAGCAGAGGACATTTCTAATCTGTCTACGGCATCAATGTGCCCATTTTATTCACGAGCAAATGGATCTTGGATTGGACAAATATAACATCCATATACTGCAAATGTAATTTACCCGACTCACTCTTGTTATTACATTTTTCCAGTCAATAGTCTCCTGATTCTGATGATTCTAAGAGGGAAAAGGCAGGCGGAGTAGGCTCAGGCACTTTTGAAAATGACTTGTACAATTGATATCTTGTCAGCGTTGTATAATGCTCCTAATGATGATGACACACGACTTGTCTCGCGGTGGGGGAACAGGCACTCAAGGTCTTTACATTTATATAAATGTATTGACTATGTGCTGTGCCCCTGTAGCACTGTTGACAAAATGGATAACTGATGGTAGCAGATGGGCCAGACTGGAGGTTTGGTGAGTTCTGTGGAACTAACACGCCATCTAGTGGGACTGAGAGGAGATGTTATTTCTCTGCAGGGTTGAGTTATTTATAGACACCCAGGAGGAAAATAACCAGCACATTACTTTGTATTTATGTATAAGCATGTTTTTCGAGGTAACTGTAATTTACTTTGTATTCCCATAGTAATTTAGTAAAATAAATTGTTAAAACTGACCTTTTACTCTTCGTAATTAAACTGCCAGCTACTGTCAAGTTATTAAAAAAATATTCATATTTAATATAGGAACAATCTGTGTATTAATCAGAAATCTAGTTAAAATTAAAATGCAACATTCAAATATTGCTTAAACATAAATGCATCATTCGTCTCAGTGGAATGCATATGTCCTTATGAAACCACATTTAAATCTGTTAAAATCCAGATTTTTATTTGGATGAGCACCAAACATTCAGTCTTCTAAATGTTTCGTCAAGTTTCACAAATTTATCTCAGAAAAATGTGGAAAATGTGGAAAAATTGTCCAATCTTGCTTTTTAAAGAAAGTGATACAAAACTATTGGATTAAACCCTTTGTCCAAATTCACACAAACATTAATTTGGTTCTTTCTTAGCACGCTTCATCCTTCCTAGTTTTATAGAAATACATCGAGTGTCTTTATATTGTTCCCTGAAAAACAAACCAAATAACAGGCGAAAACCTCTGGTTGGAGGTGATATTGATATCACACGTTACACATGGATATTTACTTTTGGGATTTTAAATAAATTTAGCTGAAAATACTTAAATTTCAAAAATGTAAAATCATTAACAATCAAAACTAGAATCTCTCATCTACAATAGATTTCAGAGGCTTTGCTGTGTCGCTCTAGTTTGAGTTCAGGTGCCTCCTCTTTGCTTTAATCATCCTTGAGATGTAACTTCAATGTGACTGGAGTCTACTTGTGACAAAATTCATTAGACACGTATGTAATGTCCCATAATTCACGCTGCATTTCAGGACAAAAAGAAAGTCATGAAGTCCAAAGAACTGTCAGCAATAAAACTGGTGAGGCACAGATCTGAGTAAGGGTAGAAAACAGTTTCCACAGCTTCTTGTGTTCTCAGAGCCACATTATAACTGTGAGATGGAAGATTTGGAAGCAAGTTGGAGTTCGCCATTTAAAAAAACTCTTGAGCAGTTTAGGAAAAACAAACATCCCATGCCTGTGATAATGCACGGTGGTGGAAGCATCAGGGTATGGGATGTGGTTCTCAGCAGCAGGGAAAGGGTGACTAGTCAGAATCAAGGGAAGGATGAATACGACCAACAGATACAATGAAAACACGAGTATTTATTTTACTGTATGTGCTTTACAATAGAATTTCAAAATTAAACTTGGATCACTGTTAGATTTAGTATCCAACAAACAACCACAATGGAATGTAACCAGTTCTATCGAAAGTAATATAAACACAGATGTTCTGCAGCTGTAAATTAATCTACGATAAAATCACCGATCATGTGACAGTACCGCAACCATTTTTAATAAAACGAAGAAAAAAGATCCACTTCAATGAGTGAAAGAAATAATCGATAGTTAAGGAGACAGCTACTGCAATGAAAATTAATACTCAAAGATATGCAAATAACAAAGAAGTCAGTAATACTAAGTATTTTGGCCCAAATTAGCCAAAAGTGTATTTTCATTGAAAAGATTATTATACCACAAAATATTTTCCAAGAATGGTTATTCCAGCATAGTATTTCCAGCTTGGATATTCCCTCATTTATTGCAGGCAGGGAATACAATTCCATGGTATTATGGAATGTAGGAATAAAGTGGCTACGTGCCGTACGACTAGGGCTGTGCAATGTGACGATAAATACCGTGTGGCATGAGAACAACATCTATCATTTCATATTATGCTCTATGGTTTTTAACTGCACGGATGCAGGCAGGAAATCTGAATAAAGACACAAACAAACACGGAGGAGAGTAATCATGACAGAGCGGGTGATTGTGGACAGGAGGACTCCTACCAGCCAAGAAAAAAATAGGTAGGGTGTGAAAAATCAGACATGGACCAGAAAACAGTTCAAATGGAGCAGAATTGTCCCCACAACAAACCCACTAACCTTATTTAGCACCAACATTAGAATCGTGAATCATCGAAAAATGAAGGAGACGTTCGATGGATGAAAGCCACATTAGGGCAGTCATGTTCAAAACACATATGTAAAGCGTCCTTTGGTCTCTTGAAAGGCGCTATTTAAATTCAAGTTATTGTTAAAACAAAACAAACCCTAAACTGAAACACTTAATATCATAAAGATGGATGGAGATTAAAGCTGATGTTGGAACTTAACATATGTAATGTGATCTCCCAATTTTACACATTCAAGAAAAAAGGTATGTACATTTTTATGTTGTTATGTCTGGATATGAGATTTTGGTCATATCGCACAGCCCCAAGTACAACTCCCCTTGATTAGTTTATCTCTCACAGATTTTGCTTGAGAAGATGAAAAAGATTCAAAAAGGTATTTTAGAAAGTTTGTAGAAATGTTAGAAACCGAAGACCTCTAAGCAGGAAATGTTCAGTACTGAACAACTTTGTGCTCATGAATGTTAAACTACTACATTTAAAATACGTGGAATCTTAAGACACCGTGAGCAGCATAAAAGTGCATCATCTTCAAAAGTGAAAAACTAAAAAAAAAACAAGAAAAGTACATCCATCTACCAGCTCATCATCCTTCCTCTTTCACCCTCGTGTAATCTGTCCATCGGTCAACCAGGGCGTCTGTAGCAGGCGCCTTGGTAAGAAGTAGCATTGAAAATACTGAACATGTCTTTCCTGACAAAAGACAGGAATTTCTTCAGAGGGCAGAGGGGCTGGCCTGCGTGATGGTTATGAGAGCGACAGAAAGTGGTATGAAATGTTACGTCCTCTCCGTTGTACAGCACCCTGATGAACAGCTCCCCGTCTTTAGCTTTGCCAGCTTTCTTTTTCAGCTGCCCTTGCATTGTTGGGGGACTCTTCCACAGTTCAAACACCACTCTGGCTGCGAAACGTGGGAACCTGGCCTCCTCCAGGCCCAGGGCGCTCAGCAGAGGGGCCATGGTGACATCATGAGCTGAAGAGACGGTGAAGACCTCCTCGCCGCCAGCGCGAGGCTGTCTTCCAGCCTCGCTGCTCTTGGCAACACGCTCCATCTTGGCAGCGGTTCTGTTCAGGTAGGGGTACATAGCCAGGACGGCATATTTATGGTACAGCCCCACTCTTCTCCGATCCACCTCGTCGTCTAACTGCTGCCGGCGGATCACAGCAAACTGAGCCATTGTCAGACATCCACCACTGCCGCTCTCCCCCACGGGAACACATGGGAAAGACAGGCCGTGGCACAGGTGGCACAGCAGGGAGTCTATAGGGTTAGCAGCTCTGAGCTGGCGGGTAGGCAGACCCAAAGTCCGCGCCATGTCAGCGTAATTCCTCTCCAGCTCGGTATCAGCCACCCGCAGCCGATACTGCCGCCTCTGCTCCTCCTCGAGGTATCTGTTCCTGGCGGGGCAGTCACAGGCCGAGCCGCAGAACAACGTGCTCCACTGGTGACGCATGGTCAGCTTCGTCCAATCGAAATCCGGGAGGAAGCCATAGAGGAAGGCCAGTCCGCTCTGGAGAGTCCGACTCTTACCTGTGGTCTCCACCCACAACTGGCGAGGCGTCCAATTGGAGGGGAGAAGATTGTGGTGCTTGTAGGCTTGATGGAGGAGCTGCCCATTGTGTAGGTGCTGCACCACACCTGGAATGGGACAGAGACATGTAGATATATAAGTTGTTGCAAGATGTTAATTCATCAGATAAAGCGAAATGTTTCGAAAAGTACACCGCACAGAAGAGTGTCAGTAGACTGAGGGGTCTCCGGCTGATCATTTTAATCTTTGACCCCAAAATAAACGTGTAATATTGGTCAACGAGCACAGTTTCGGTTGATGAGAGTAGATGAGACCTTGTGGTGATGAGACCATCCTTGCCTACCTGTCTGTGTGAGTTCTCCCATCTCACAGACACTGTGGTTGGGCAGACGGGGAGCAGAGCCCAGTGATGACTCCCAGTGGCCTCGGCTGCCTTGGCCCATGTGGCTGATGAAGGCGTTCAGCAGGGGATGGGACGGCTGCCTTTGGGTGGTGAGGGACAACCAGACGTAAGAAACACACAATGGGACATTTCTTGGTTTTACACAGTGAAGTGACAGTGCTCATGTTTTTTAAATATACATAAGAATATTATTCTGTTTAGAGTAGGATCGCTGTGTTCAGTATGTAGCTCCCAACTTCCACCACCAGGTGTCTCTCTAACACAGCTGAGCTACAACACGTGTTCAATATGTGTGGGTGGGAATATGGGAGATGGAGATAAAAAAAAATAAAATAAAAAAAATGAAAGAATGTGTTACTTGGGGACACATACCCAACCAACCAACCAATCACCCACCCACACACACACACACACACCCCCACCCCCACCCCCACCCACACACACTGGAGGGCAGCAAGAGGAGCAGTCAGTGATCTCATAGATTAGAGATGATTGAAGATTACACTTTAATATAACAAATCTGTGAGAGCAGCCCCAGCTCAGCTTGCTCAGATTAACAGAAGCATGCTCACGTACTCACACGCACACACATACACACAGTTTCCATAGTGATCATGGACTGGTTCAGCAAGACGGCATTGAAAACACGACCCTCTGTCACAGTCCTTAAATCACACTCGTGATTATTGTTATGGTTAGAGCACAGTACACATAACTTTGCATCTACAACCAACAGCTACAGTATTAAGTACAACGTGCATATTTCTGTTTCTGTTGTTATTGTGCTTAACTTAAGGCTTTTAAGCATAACTCCGATTTCAGCGCTCATGTGGAAATACAAATCTGGATTTTCTATTTTAAGGACATAGTTTCCTTTTGTTGTCACTTTGCATCAGCATCTGTCATCACCGTCTATCCTCTCTCTGCATTATCAGACTAAAAGCACAAGAACACATGGGAGTGGTGAAGTGAAATTAGGTGCCCACCTCTGCTCTATTCTGTTCTGTCGTCAGCAGATGAGTTTGCTGAGGGGAGTGGGGAACAATCTGGATTACACTGGGACAGGGACTGTGATGTGGACAAAGAGCCACCCGGCCTGTCTATACGGCTGATTGTTGCTAACCAAAGATTACAGATCCCAATTACATTAAGCAGGGATTATTATCACTGGATAGGACAGGGAGAGATAGATTAGTGAGGAAGGGACGGAGAGATGAGGAAACAGAGTTGAGATAAATTAATGAAATGAATAAACAGAATAGGATGTGATGTTGCGCTCTGAACTGAGGGAGAAAAGAAAAGAAGAAGCGGAAAGAGAGAGGAGATGTGGCCTGCTGGAGAGAGAGCTCAGTTAACCGCAGACAGAGACAGTGGGTCAGGACGCTGGTGCCAGCACACACACAGGCACACAAGCGCACACACACCGTCATGCACACTCACATGCAAGCGCGCACACACACACAGTGACTGAGCGCTCTGTAAGGGTCCAGCCCAAAGCATATGCTCGATGAGATCCCTGTAATTACACCCTGGTCTAAATAAAAAGACAAGTACCTACATTATTACCAGGACACAGACATTTGAAATAGCAATTTTATGTTCCATCTGCCTCCAACATGAGCACATTTAACCCACAAATAATCCAGAAACACACTTTAACTATGTGCTGAACCCACACGGCCTCACTGTTGTGTCTCAGGGACAAAACCTCAAGTTTTCAAATGCACGTTTAAAAGATTTAAAGGGTTTAAACATGTTTTGAGCTTTCTTTCATTTGACACAATTAAAATTGTGTTCAAGGACAAAAAGGTGCTGGTAAAAAAACAACAACACAAGACTGCTCATCTCAAACAGAAAGAGAGATGTGGAGAGGAGTGATTGTGGGACAGGATGTCATGAAGATGAGAAGTAAATATGCCAAAGGTCAGAGCGAACATCTGGAGTCTCGACAAAGAAGAGGGATTTGTTTTGGGACACTTGAAGCCTGATGTGACAGTAAAGTGTTCAGAGCTGGAGTGCGCTCTGGACATGAGCATCTTAAATCCTACTTATAATTCTGAACGGTGCAATAATGGATTATTTTCCAACATAAAGAACTTCCTGTTGGTTAATGAATCAAAGATGTGGAATTCTTATTCCCCAATAAAAAATCCACATGGTAGAGTTTCCACTCTCAGGTCACACCAGGTTCCAGCACAGTTTACTGCTCAGTTGAAGGGGCGGTGACGATCAGTCAGTTACAGGATGTCACATGTACGAAACCTGTGTATTGTCATCTCATGACTCAGTGTATGGCGGACGCTCGGCCGTGTTGTTGAAATTCATCGACAGAGTAATTTTGAACGTGGGAGACAATGTATTTAAACTGAAGTGCTCCTGCTTTTGAAAGTGCAGAGTATTGTAAACCACACAGAAATATTTGTTTAAGTTAATATGTTCAACATTTGAGTAAATATATGAACAAATAACGTAAGCTATTCAAAGAAATACAAGGCATAAAGATGCAAAAAGTGATCTGACATTGAAATCTGGTTCAGATAATAGCCTCCATAAGTAATGTTAAGTTGTTTACCCTGATGGCCTGTCGGAGGTATGCGTCACAGTAAGAGCCTGTCACATATAGTATGGTAGTATTCCTCACTCAAACACTTTCAACTGATCTACAGACAACACAGTGCAGAATATATTTGCATCTGGTTCACTAGACTTGTTTTGACTGTGGGATAACGCCGCTAATGAAGCTCTGCTAATCTGCTGACAAACACATTTAGCATCTGAAAGCATTAGTAAACACAAGTGCCTCATATCATACAAATTCAGACAGAAAGGTCTAAAATCACTGAGACATGAACACAGTGAGACTTTTAAAAATTGATGCTTCTCTCATCACTGGCAGAGCACATACGGTACGCAGCTGTACAGACCGAGAAAAGACCACCACAGGTTACCAGGACCACACTGGCATGGAGCGGCTGCCCCCTGCTGTGATGCTTAAGCGGAAACACATGTCATGGAGGCTTGGATCGGCAAAGCTTGGCTAAAACAAAACGAACCCCAGTCCATGGAAAAAACCATTAAAACCAAAAACATAGTAAATCAGCCTATTAGCATTGAACTCGAGTGCAGCCCTGCCAACATGAAAGTACATCGTTTGTCTTGATATCATCTGTCTCTGCTTTCTGAGTACAAATCAGGGTGCTGTGGCTGCTGACTGTTCTATCGTTACCTTTCACACAAAGACACAATGACCAACACGCAGGTCATGGTTTTATTCTAAAACGCATTTCACATAACCATTTAAGCGCGTGTCGGTGTGAACAGGAAGTAGATTGTCTGAGAAACGACAATGGTAAAATTAAGAGCACAGATTTTTTTTCTTACTGTTACACAAAGTGTTAACAACGATTTGCCATCACCACTGGTAGTAGAGTCATGACTGATAAGAACCAATCAGGAAGCTGAATTGCATCCAACTGTTTCAGTTTTCTTCCTGTCCAGACTCCAGACAACATCAAAGCCTCAGGGTTTTCAAACTGAAACTGAGCCAGCAGCATTTTCCAAACCTCCCTATTTTAGGTGATTGAAAACTGTAGACTTGTGTGTAACTGTGTTCTGGATCTAATTTCATGTTTTACTACTGAGACAGAGAAATAGGAGTGCAGCATGACTGATTGATCCACACACACGCAGTATATTATATTTAGGAGTTGAGTAACACAGGCAGAAGCTACAGTGGTACATAATGACATGAGGATAAAAAAAACTAAAGCTTGCTAAAGAGCTCATCTCTGCTCTTTTTCTTTCTCAGTACGAACAATCAAAACATTTAAAAGTCATGAATGACAGCATCCCGACCTGCATCGTAAGAGGCTTTTGTGCAGGATGACCCACTTTCAGCTCCAGTTCAAAGACCAAAGGTATTGAAAATATTTAATAATCAAAAGAAAGTGACAGATCAACTGCATCATATCAATCTGAAATGCAGCTGCCTGTGCCAGCTCTTAAGATTACAGCGTCCCTGTCCTTCTCCAGATGTGCTAAGCTGATGAGGCTGAAGTGAAAGCCTCGTGCAAAGTTAAGTCGTTGGCTCAGGCCGAACTCAGGTACACAACCCCAAAATGAAATAGAAGAGAGAGGCCGCAGGGAATTTAATGACCACATGGTCGAAATAAATCATCCTGGAGGATGTGGGCGCACGCGTCAAAACCATCTGACCAAGCCACATTTTCTGGATTTAAAAGTTGTTATCCACATGCAGAGTTCACATAAATTGAAGGTAATGTATTCACACCGAAAGCGTAAATGTGCTGATTTCAGACTTCTGAAGCTGAGGTGCCGAAGCAAGCCGGCTCCTCGAGCCTCTAAATGAGCAGCAGAGCCAACAAGAAAAAAAATCAAAGAGAAAAAGTTACAGTTGACAAAATACAGCATAAGGAATAAAAAGAGAAAACAATATGAAATCAAGCATGAGCACATTTTCCAGACTTCCTGCTGTAGTAACAGTTCTGCTCTGCTCAGTGAGGTTGTTGTCGAAATCATCAACTCTGCGTCAGAAGACCAAAGGCGCATGTAAATGTGTTAATGTTTATGTGAGCGTATTCCATCTAAACCAAAGCAGAACAGATGTAGCAAAACAAACGTACCCGCGAATCGCTGACACGTGAAAAGAGACGGCAGAACCAAGGGATTGTGAAAGTGTATCTGCACAACATTTCAGATGTGACATCAAAAGAACAGTTGTGCTAAATATAACAATACTGAACATGTGATTTTTTATTTACATATTTAAACAGCGCATAAGTGCTTTGTTTCCTGAATTAACTTTTTATCTTAAGGTTCACTGACTTTTACAGTTTACACTGATGCATCAAAAAGATTATAATGTATTTATAAAGACAAATGTGTCTCAACAGAGGATCCTTGTCACCTCTTCAGATACACTTAGAAGAATATGCTTTGTTTTTAATAACACCTTTGCCCCCTCTAACATTGGTCTGAACACAATATCCTAATAAGGAGGTTATGTTTTCACTGACATTTGTTTGTTTGTTAGCAGGATTACGGTGAACCAATCTTTCCATGACGTTTTGTGAAGGGGTGGAGCATGACCCAAATTTTGGAGCTGATCTGGATAAATGGGCAGATCTAGGATTTTTGATAACCTGGGGCATTTTTCCATCACTATCCTGGATCTTGATTAATCTAGTGAATTTGAATGTGGTTTCATGAGGGAAAATGTTGGACCTTGGTGGTAGTATACTGGGATCAGATTGTATTTTACAGCTCCACTGCTATAAAATTTAACGAGAAGGGCACTCAGAGAGCACATACCTCCACCAAGGATAATGCCCATGTTAATGAACATGCCCAACCCCTCCACAAAATTTCATGGGAATCAGTTAAGTAGTTTTGCATAATCGTACAGACAAACAAACAAAGATCATAACCCCCTTGCAGAGGTAACTACCGATTGCATATGTCTAATTTCACTTTTACACTTCTACGCCTGCTGGGCCGTGCACTCTGTAAAACCTCGGAAGGTTCTCTGGCTTCAGGACGTTAGCAGCAGATCAGAATTGCTCCAGTGTACGCACATGCTCACACAGTTTTTGCTTGTTGATGTACAGATTATTGTCAACTCTTCTAATGTCTTACTTATTCTCAATTCATTTTCTAAAATACTTGCCTTTGGTAATGTAAATAAAATAAAATAAACGTAAAAAATGCAAACAAACAGTCTCAAGGGATTCCTTTCAACATATATTCGTCCGCTTCAGAAAATATGACTACGACATACTCATCCTGAAAATGTGACTTTTAGTGCGTTATTACATTTTCGGTGGAACCGTGTGTGTGTACCTGTGGGGGGACAGGGTGCAGTCGATGGCAGGTCTCTTGGTTTTAGGGATGTAGTAGAGTGGGTAACGGTCTCCATGACGAATCATCACCTGGACAGACAGCAGCTTGTAGTCGGCAGGACTGTGACCTGTGAGCAGACTTTCATCAGCATCATTATAAAATCCATATTACACTGGTTAATTAAAAGAACATGTGAGCGATCACTCAAAGGTTGCATTCATATTCCATGGTTCCAAGTGACGTCTTGAAGTGAGATGCAATACTGAGTTTTGCATCAGTGTGTGTGTGTTAACAGTAAATTAAGAATATAGAATTTATGTAAATTTCCTCTCTGGAGTCAAAGCTGCCACGCAGAGATAAACAGGTTTTATAAGCAGCGGCATGTCCGACTTGTTTCAGGCAGATATTTTTGTGACTTTTCAGTGGAGGAGAAAAAAAACAACACAAGGCTCGGTGTTGCTATGCTGTGAGAGAGAGAGAGAGAGAGAGAGAGAGAGAGAGAGAGAGAGAGAGAGAGCGCACTGCAGATTTACAGATGATGCAATCTAGTGGAAATTACTTCTGTACAATTAATACATCCCCTGAGTACTGACACACTAAATCTGACATTATTACTATATTAAGTATTTATGCGCTATCCATTAAATCCTCCGATTCTATAGCAGTGAGAGAGCTCGTCCAAATCAGTTTTTAATGCTCTTAAATAGTGATGTAGCCAAATTGGAAAGAATTAACTTGATTAACTAAGTGAATTGACTACTGCTGCCTGGTCTCACATTAGTTCAGATTGAAGTCTTTCAGAAATACAAATTATACATGTAACCATCTCAGTGAAGGTCTTTGGTGTTAAGATAAGGTTGATTTTGAGTGTGTCTCACCCTCCCAGGCCTGTTCGGTGTGGTTGGGGGTGTTGCAGTAGCCATAGGCCTCAGATATAGGGTTGGGTTCCTGGGTGTGAGGCACCGGGAACACCCTCTTTCTACTCTTCCCCAGAGCAGCCCCATGGCCTCTATCTTCAGCCTGGAAGGGTCGCTCCTCCACTATGGGAGTGGTGGGGATCAGGTTCACTGGAGAAAGAGATTAAAAGAGGAGAAAGTGGTATAAAGAAGACAAAATGGAATAAAGAGAAGGGCAAGTGATACAAATTCAGAAAACAAGGTACGCAAAAAAAAAAAACATCTATTGATGATCGGCTTTTTTTTCCCTTTGGTATAAATCCCTTGACCCAATCACTCAGTATCACGCCTCCTGCCGACACACAGCGGTGTTATGGTTATATTCGACTGGCCTGATATTATCATATACTCAAATTAATTAGCAAATTTAGAGTGCTAATATTTGGGAATTGCCACAAAGGACACACTGATGTCATTAGTTTTGCAGATGTATGTTCATATAATTAAGTTTTGACTAAGTTTGACCTGATTACATTACCTTTGCTTTTCATGACAATCCAACTAATTCAAGTGAAACAAACAAAAATTCAGAGCATCATCATGATCATTTGGCTTAATCTCCTGGACAACATGGTTGTCCTTGGAGCCAAACTGCTGCTAAAATGATCCAAGATAGATTCACCGGCAACAATTCATAGTTTGAAACACGGAAATTCCAAAAAAAAAACCCAGTGACCAGGCAGTGAGTGCTCAAAATGAAGTTAACCAGTGCAACCATAGTTCATCTCCATGTCAACAGCTCTACTCCCCCAAACTCCTCACTGTTACCAGTGTGTTGCCTGGACACCAGTGACCTGTGACCCCTCAGAGAAATGGTCCAATGAGGGTAGAGGTGTTGTGGGAACTGGAAGGTCCATTCACAAATATACATCCCTGAAGAAAGACAAGTTGAACCCAGATGCCCCTTTGGCAAAACATTCCCAAAGCCTTTCAGACGGCACATCTCTGCGTGAACAGTCGCAGCCATGTTGCATCACCTGACCTGGACACGGCGTGCTGATATACTCTATACATTTATCAGTTTCAGGTCAGCTTATATCAAAAAAATAGACAAACTTACCTGAACTGTAAACATTCAAGTGATCAATATATATTTTTTATATCCTCAGCTTCCCCAGTGTGAGGATTTGCTGCTTTCCCTTTTATTACATTTGAGTAAATTAGATATTTTTCCATGTTTTGGCCAACCAATGATCTACTCCCCAAATTCACAATGCACCCTTGTGCTTCAGACAACTGTGATGCGCATTTGTCACAATGTTCTGGCATTTCACAGCCCCAAACAATTTCAAATCATTAAAAAGAAATAATCAACATATTAACTGAGTGTAGAAATAACTAGAAATGCAATCAGATCAATTCTATCAAAGCACCAGCATGTAGCTAAAGACAAAAACTGTAAATACAAAAATTCTACAAAAAATACAAATTAATCCACAAGTTTTACTATGTTGATACATGACCAAAGCTCTATTATAACTATCACGAGGGGAAATTGAAGACCTTGCTGTTAAAAGAGTAAAGTAAAAAGCAGCTGAAACACTCGGAGCAGCAGAGCTTTAAAGAGGCTTCTCTATGTTAATTATCATATAAAGCTAAAAGATTAATGCTGGTCAAAGTGAGCTCAATCAGGACACGTCATGAAAACAAATAAGAGTAGAGACTTTTGAGAGCAAACTTCATGTTTAAAGCTTCAATCTGGATCAACTGGGCAAAAACAAACATAATGACAGTCCCACAGGGCAGTTTTTACACAAATTGTATGTATTATCTTTCAACATCTTCCCTGTTTCTAAACAAGCTGTTAAGTCTTTGATTAAAAAGCGGTTTTTGATTTTCTATATGTAGATTTTCCATAAAACCACTGATGAGGAAGAGGAAAAGGTGTGCAGCGACAGCAGAGCCCATTTTGACGATGACTCTGTAGCTTGAGGTCTAGCCAGACTCACACTGGAGCTCATTCATTACCATAACCTGTCCCCCTCTCTGCTGTGTGCCCGTTACACTGCCACCCCCTCACACACATACATGCACGCACGCACACGCCTGCCTGAACTACCCAAACTTTCAGAGGCCAGTTCAGTCACAGCCTCCGACACAATGGCGCTTTTGTAAGTGGCTGCCCAACACTACCAAGTGCATACACAGCACTGGCACACAGAGCATACTGTGGCACATACACACACACACACACACACACTCACAGCACATAACAAATTCATACACCCACACTAAATGTGGCTGCAGTAATAAGAATTTAGAATATGTTTCCAATTTTCCATTTGCCACATGAAGTCTAGAACACAGCAGGAGGCTGTCTGACAATGTCTTTAACAAAGAGGTCCATTTAACAAATCATAAATCTCTTCGGTGTTAATGTAGTGTTATTGTGTGTGTGTACATTCGAGTACATATACAGTGTACACACAAACACGCATGCAGCCTTATGAAATTATCACCAGACAACCTGACTTCTACCTGAAGGCAATGAGAGTGCTGTTGTCTATAGCAACGCAGTCATGAGAAGGTGAGCTACTCGCTCAATGCGGTTTGGCCTGAACTTAAAAGGTGCGTCCACACTTATACGACCTGACTCCACAGTGATGTAAACTTTTAGCACTGTGGAAACCAGAGACCAGTGGAACAAATATTGACATTAAAGCGCTGTATGTGCACAGACGGACATGGCTACTTGCAGCAGTTCATCATATAGACCAACTTACATCCTGGCTTTTTAATCAGATTAACGCAAAGAGAAGCACACAAATATGTGGCTTTATAAACAATCTGCATGGACACTAATCTTATCTGAGCAGAGATTAAGAACTTCTTCAGCACATTTAATTAAGCACCGATGCTCAGTAATACAGCAAAAGATAAGGTCTGATATGCCACTGATGGCCCCCAATGTTGATCTGAATCCTCTAATGGAAAGTGTCGCCTCATACAGAATGTGATATGATATTCATTTTCGAATTATTATTATTATATTTACTCTGCATATTGTTTTGCCCCTGTAAAGCCTGGTCCTAATGAGGTCAAACTTTATTTCTGAGGTCCAAGTTGAGGTTAGTGGTGTGATGGTAATTGTGGTTTAGTGATGGTTTGCCTTTTGGTTTGGCTGTCCACAATGAATGGAAGTCAATACAAAGTCCTTAATACAGATAGCAGCACAAAACTGTGCAAATATAACTCACCACATGGACTTCTGATACAGGGAATATTTTTCGGGCGGGTATCTCCAGGCTGATTGGTCGAAGGTCAGAGTAAAAAATTATTTTTTACTAATTATCTCCCAAAAATAATAGAGAGACAATCTGAAGCTCAGAAAATGATTTTCCATATGTGATGTCATATGGTGAGGCTATGAGGAAGTCACAATTAAGTCAGAAAATGACGGCATGCATAGCCCAGAAATGTGTTTTCCTATGAGACTATAGACAGAAACATTACGACATTATTATCATTATCACAATATAAATAAGTTGGCATTGTGTGAGCGGGGTACAATGTGCTCACAGGATATGCATCACTCCCCTGATACTTATTATTTAATTTGTTTAATGCTCCCACTGACTGATCACGGCTGAGTTCAACAGACAGCTCATTCATCCATTGGGTAGTTTTGGTGACTGATCCATAAGCTCTGCATCGACTAATGTGGGGAAATTATTTGTGATGACTGACAGCATTAGGCGGAGAATCCCTGCATTAATAATGCAAAACACACGCCAAAGGGAGAACTGCTTCCCAACACCTGATTAACTAGTATGTCACACCCATAGCTCACATACAGGGAATGATCTGATTTATGCTGGTGCTGCAGAATATCACCGTCATATGACACTGAAGGAGCGGGGCGGCTGCAGTTTGCTAACAAGCGTGACGAGTGAGATGTTTTGGATTAAGAGTTCGAAATGTGTAATGTCGAAAGTAGGATTCATCCTCAAGAAATAACGCAGAGATGTTAACTAGAACAAAACACCTGACAAATGCAGAGTGCTAATATCTATGAGTAGGTGAAACTTTGTGCCAAACTGGATAAAGATCTGGATTTTCTTTTTAATTACTTTAGGGGAGTGACTTTTATTGAGTTACTGTGTTTTTTTGTCAACTTGTGGTTAATGTGAGCCGTTTGTGGAACATTTCTATGTATTCAATTAGATAAGTCATATTGCCCAACCACTTTTATCTAAATCCTAATATCAGTCTGCGTCTCCTTCACATCACCAATCAACTGCACCGTCAGTCCAGTTGTTTGCACCAGCGACAGCTCTTACACCATTGGTAAACACACAAACCCAGTTTGTTCGATCCATGTGAAACATGTTAGGTGTGCCACCAACCACATTGTGTTACTGTGATAGACTGGCGACCTGCCTAGTGCCCACACAATCAGGCACAGAATAAGCCCAAACAGAAAACAGAACTGCGTGTTTGTCAGCTGATCGCTGCGCATTAGGAGAACACTACATGCATCACAGTTTGATGTGTATCTATAATATTTTTTAAAGTGTCCAATAGTGTTTTGTGCAACATCTACAGTGAAGAAAGCTGCAGGGAAGTCTGAACAGCATCCTTTCACAGTTTTAATTTTGTAGTATCAGTTTCTTCTGTAAATACTACTTCTCTTGGATTTCTACGTCTGTCTGGTGAACACAGTAATCAAGTCTCATCAAATTACATTTCTTTTTTTTGTACTGTTACTGCTACTCAACCACACATCGGTCACAAACCAGATACAGTGCATTAACATTCAGAATATAGAGTTATTGTATAGAGAGAGATGCCTTGCCTAGGTATTTTCCACTGTGACATTACAACCTGGAGCCAGGAAATGAAATACTTAGAGACACAGTAAAATATTTATATTGACTTGATTTTATGCAGGTAATAGTACCCCCCCCACACTCCACACACACACACCATCTAGGTATATTAGCTTACCTACTAAGTCATCCCGTTAACCATCAATCTAGTCAACTCTAACTCTCCCTTAACGATTGTTCTTAGAAAAGGTGAAACAATTAGTTGATAAGTTTGTAAATAATTTAAGGTTATTTTCCGACAGGCGACAGTTATATAAAAGTATCCAAGATCAGTATGCAGCCCCATCTGCCACAGGGCTAACTTTTGTCTTTTAGTGTGTGTCTGTCACTGTGTTGCTCAGTATCCAATATCCAGATTTATGTTATAATCCCATATCTTGTCTGAAGGCAGACCATCTCTGGCACTGGCAACACAGAGGTGATCAGTCAAGTTCCACAGTGGGTGCAGACATTGTAACAGGAATGGGAGGAATGCAGGGGAAAAGAATTTGCTAAGTGCTTGGAGCTCTGCCTATTTAACACTTAGTAGTAGATAGTTGTTTTGGAACAGTTACAAAAACTAGGTGATAACATTTCACCCCTATTAAACTGTCATACAGGTTCAAACTGCTTTTCATTTGAAGAATACATGGGCCTCAAGTGCTTCCTTTATTATGTCTTCTCTTCCAAACGTGGCAAATCATATTTGTTTAATTCCATCTCTTTTTTATCTCTTTTTGTCCTCACCTCTCTCACTCCTCACAGGCAATACCTTTCTTTTTCTCTGTTCATATCCTCCCATCATAGTCCCCTCTAACTCTGAATTTACTGACGCAATCAACTCCTTTCAGGCTGACTCATCCTTCCCTTGACAAGAATAACACAATAAAAAAAGCTCATTTTCTCTGTGTTTTAGCCACTTTAATTTACACTTTAATTCCCACTACTGCAGTTGTCCTCTCACTGTCGTCACTTTCTCTCTGGGAGTCCCCTGTGTGTCAATCAACACGGCAATCGCACCCTTCGCAGCCATCCACATTTTACTTTGCTGCTGCCAGGAGCCAGAGAGATGCATTTGCTGCACCGCCAATCATCATCCGTCACTCAGTCCCTCGTGGTAATGGTCAACAAACAATAAACACAGGGATGAGCTTTTCTCAAGCGCAAGAAGGGGGTGAGAGAGAGAAGACCGGAATAGAGAGCAGACGACATAAAATGATTTAGAGAGAGACCTATAGCAGAAAAGAAGAACAAAAACAGAAGCTGTCCATATATTAAACATGAGGACAAATCCCACATGCTTTTATCATGTGCTTCTGCTGGATAATGGCTCAAATCCTTCTCTTTGTGTGATGAATAAATGATGACAGCAGCTTTACTCCGAATGTACGACTCATCCAGAAAAATAAAGGAGGGCCAGTTTTGAAAGCGCGTGCACCTACAAGAAAAAAATTCCCTTGATTGAGAAATCACCTGATCAAGTAGATTTCCGGTGCAACAGGAGAGTATCTCATCTCAGAAAAAGAGTCATAGCAAAGTCATTGCATCTTCTGCTGCATCTAGGTTGTGTATACCCACAGGTACCAGGCAGGTAACATAAAATAAAGTTGCGTAACAAGTAAAAGCTATTTACATAACTTCACAGACAGAGGTAAAAAATGAACTACACGTGGGCGGGAAGCAAGTGAGAACTGAAATATGCTTTTTTCTGGAGAAATCATTGAGTGAAATGATGGTGCAGTATTTTATCACCTCCAGTGAAGGGGACACGGTCTCCTCTTACTGAGAGGTTGTTTCCCTACATTCACTGGCGCTGAGAGGGAAGCGCTGTCTAGACAAAACCTATACAGGAGGTGCCAGACAATGACTCAATGGGGAAAAGACATGATTCTGTACACCTAAGCATACCACAGCAGATGGTGGTGGGTATTATAGGAAGTCTCTAGGGGATTCTGCTTTGTTTCAGTATGAATGCAGTCTCTTGAATGGGGAATCAATTAGAGGAAGTGTGTGTATTAACATGAACCCCCATGCAAAAAGAAAAAGATACATAAACAAAGGTACTTACAGAACTGAAGGCTCAGACTGATGACGGCCAGCGCTGCCCCGCCCACCACCACCAGGAGGAGGAAGCGGTTGCGAGCCAGCATCTTATCATGTGATTGGTCGGCGACCCCGTCTGTCAGCCATCCAGACCACGGTCCATCCCAGCTGCCTAGAAACAAACAGTTAGTGGACTATTGAAATAGAGCATTTTACATACAATTTTATATCATTAAATTTATTTTATTTTAAGTTGTTTTACTGGACACAATAAGTAAAAAGAACGGGTGTTTATGATAAGCAGCTGTCGTTTACTTCCTATGTTAAAAGGAAATGATTCATCAAAAAAGCTGTTGACTATAGATTATGAAAAAACTGTCTAGACACAGTCATTGCAAACTTTTTCAAAATCTGGCATTTACAAAATGCTCAACCAATTTTCATTAGGTTATAAGAGATGAGTGAAATTTTGAATGCAAACTACATTAACTAACTCTCTCTAGTTTCTGAAACAGCCGCTCACTCCTGTCCCTTTCAGCTCGTGCGGTATCTTTGCTTCCTGTTTGACAATGTGTGATAAACATTTGCTCAACAGGCAGAAACAAGCTGAGAAACTGGATCACTGCAAGAATCTTAGGTGTTCGTATACACAAATTTGAGTCATGAGAAATATTGCAAACAAAATGAAATTGTGATTTCTAGAATTTCTGAAAAATGCATGCTTTTGTTCAGGGTCCATGCGGAGCCATGCGGAGCCATGCACAGCTGAAATAGGTGAAAATAGAGACATCTTCACAAGCCTAGATTGGAGCAGCATGCTGAACATTTTAGCATAAAGTTAAAAGTGGTCTGTCATTAGAGTTTAATGCTAGCCTTAGATGTGTTATTAATAATGTATCAATGGATATATTAATCTATTTAAGGGAACAATCTCCTTGGATTCTGGAAGAATCTAAAAATGTCTTTAACTGACCATCTGATGCTCTATTACTTCTCGCCAACATAATCAGATATTCAATTCATCTCAAGAGAGAATAATATTTGAAGTACTGGTGGTGTGCTCATGTTGTACTCAAGAATCCAAGGACCTCACTAAGTGGCTGTGTTGTTGCTGTGTACAATCTCTGGAGTATATGATGAGTCTGTCTGTTCCATGAGAGATTGTTGACGGCTAAGCAACTACAACCAAATGCTACGTCATCAGCTCAAACAGTCAATATATATATATAACAAGTTCATACCAGTAATAACCTATATACAACCCGTATACATATACTATTTCTATTCAAAGCTTCATCCAACTGTTGAGGTAAGAACTCCAGTCTGTATCTGCTGTGATTTCATTAAGCGAAGAGCTTTTATACGAGTAGTGGCGTAAATTAAAAAGGGAAATAAAAAGAGTTTGACACTTGTCGGTTTAAATTTCACGCGAAGACCTATTTCATCTGACTAAACTGAAAACGTGTGTGTTACACATGGCACAGTACATGTACAGTCTGTACCATTTCCCCAAACCCACAAGTCAAACAGATCCAGGACTAGTCAGTGCAAGGCTGGAAACCAGGGGAGGGACAAACTATAAGTGCAGTAAATGTACCCTACACAGTGAACCCTACCATTAGACTGTCTAGAAACACTCCCTGCTCAAGCCTGCGTCTGACCAAGGGGAATTAAAATGATGCTTCAGACAGAACTACACCAACAGGTCTGCCCAGTTCAGGATCTGCACATACAAACCCTGAGCTTCACACCAAACTCCAGCCAAAATACAGGGAGTTCACGGTGGAATCACTTATCTGTAATTGCATGTGTCTTATATTTCTCATGAATAAAGGAGCTGCAGGTTGGTTCTAGCAATTATAAAATAAACATGAAGATACACATTTAGATGAACTAACTTAAATCACAGTGCTAAGCTTTGTTATAGCCATTTAACTTAAGTCAAGTCAACCAGGGGAGTCTATTAACCATTCATTATTGATCATTATTATTATTATTATTAAGCCCTTTTTGCATTTCATTTCAATGCCGAATTTAAGAGTGAACTCTAGTAACACTGACACACCCTAAAGATAAGCTTCAACCGGCACATGAGTTTGTCAGGACGTTAAATCAAACTAAATTACCAGTAGCTTGTGTCTGGTCCCGCTGGTTAACTAGTTAGCTAAAGGCTAGCTACTTACACCGGTGAGTCCCGCGAGCGGAGCGACGCCAGTGTTCCTCAGCAGCGTTCACACAGAGGTCCCTCTGCTCCTGCGTGTGTCTGTGTCTGTCTGTGTCTGTCTGTCTGTGTCTGTCTGTGTCTCTACTTGTTGCTGCCTCTCCTCGGTGTCCCGACAAGTTACCGGAGGATTCACGTGGAGCTTTGCGTGTCTCTTCCCACGGAATTTTTTTTAAAACGCCACATCCACAGCGGAGCTCGGTGCAGGAGACAACAGACAAGAGCAGGCACAGACCGACCGGGGTGAGAGCAGCAGGAGGAGCAGGAGGAGGAGGAGCAGGAGGTGTGAGAGGTGAATGGTTCCTACCTGAGGAGGTGAGGGGGTCAGAGCCGCGGACAGGCTGCTTCCACACTTGAATCCACCGCTCCGGTTCCTCCGGTACCACCGACACATCGCTGGAGCCCGGGGTTCAACCACACGCGACACGGGGAGGGACTTCCTGCCTGTGCCTTTCAAAATAATACTGCTTTTTACACACGAACAACGTGTTGTGTCCTACAGATGTGCCATGATGCGGCACCTCTGGTTTTGAAATGGATGTGAGCGCACTTGTTAAATAGTCATTGTGGCCCAAACACCCCAAAACAAATAAGGTTTTTTTTTTGTGGTGCTCTCTGCAAAGTGTAATCTGGATGTGACCCTACAATGGTACATGGTGACTATAGTCCACATAGCATAAAACAAATCCAGGCCATCTTTCGCACCATAAGGTATTGCTATAGCCTAACAATGTGGCTGTGGCTCAGGAGGTAGAGTGGATCGTCCACTAACCAGAAGGTCAATGGTTCAATCTTAGTCTACCCCATCCAACAAGTTGAAGTGTCTATTATAGATACAGACCATTTACCAGTCGTGGCCCAGAGCTGAAAAAACATCATCTTCCATGTGGGATGTTTCGGGATGTTATGTCACAAACTGTTTATTTTTCTGATGTTCTCTATTTCACGTGGCATCTATTGCACCTCTGTCCGTCCTGAGAGAGGGATCCCTCACATGGGTCTCTCTCTGAGGGTTCACCGTTCTTTTCCCTGTTAATAGAGTTAAGGGCAGAGAATGTCACACCTTGTTAAACCCTATGAGACAAATCCTGATTTGTGAATATGGGCTAAACAAATAAAATTAGATTGATGATAAGGTTCAAGCATGCCCATAGCCAACGGAGTTGTCCGAGGTCTCGGACCATGAAGATGTTTAGGGTAAAAGATAAAACTTGAAGCTAAATGATAACAGCTACATGCAGGTACCTCCACACATTATCCTGACAGGCTGCATGTGTGGTCAGCTGAAATCTGATCAATTACTGAAGTCACTAACCACCAATACAAAACAATTTGTTCAGAGTTTTTTTGATGTATAACAGGGAATACATTTCAATGTATATTCAATTATGTGTGACTTTCCATCAAAGCTATAGAGCTAACTGTAAACATTGAAACAGACTTCGATGTGCACCTGAATCAGGGATTGTGCATGGATATTGGACATATATTTGGACAACCGCCAGTGGATTCAGGCTAAATCATTTGTTCTTTGAAAAACGAGTTAATAATGTGCTTGTATTTTGAAAGGAAGATATATTCTATGTTCCGGTATAGTGGCTTGTTTTGGTCTTTTCTTTCTAACTTGACGGTTGTGAGACATAATCTGTAGTCGACTGGTTCAACTCCACCAAATCCCAACCTCACTGCGCCACCTACTGGATTTAAGACAGAGATGCACATGTGCACAAATGTGTATTAAAAATGCATTTAGTTGTAAATGACAACAAAAGAGACTTTTTGTGTGCATGTAATTTTATTAAAAAGACGCTAAAAGCTATTTTCAAATTATTTAGCGTAATTGGTTCTTCAAACATTTTTCTGACGCTGTGTTCTCGTGTTTGTGCATTAGTTCAATGTTTTGTGAAGTGATTTAAATCTGCTACTCATCAGTGATGATTGAATAAACTGTTTTCTAAAATTATACATCACTTCCAGCTACCTCTATAAGATGAAAAGCTTAAAAGATTAAAAAGCTATAAACCTGCAACAGAGTTTTAAAAATTGAATAATAATAAGGTGATGGCTGCTTTGGAAAGGATTCAGTATAAGAAATATCAATATTATTTCCTTCTGCTAAATTGCTGCTGATCTAAATTAAAGTCATGAAGGATGGATAGAGGGGGAATTGACATATTCCTCAGGCAATGATTTACTCTGACTGTGTGAGCGTCTCTGTGGGGATTCCTGCCCGTCTCTTATTTCAGTATGAATGACTGCTACAGTAGCAGAACAGTAAACAGTGAGAGATAATGTGGGCAGCATCACTTTTAGATAAAATTAATCTTAATGTTTGCTTCTGCATAAACTGACACCAGCCTTTCTAACACTCACCTGCAAGTGTAAATTGCATCTGCCAGCTATTTCTATTCTTGTAACATCTCTGCGGCTGTGGTGTTTCTGCACTGCACTTCTTGTTCATATGGTGTTATGTATTTTATATACTGTGCCCCCTTACTACCTATAACTGAATCAAGATTTCATTTCTGTCCTTTGGCTTTAGTAGCTTCAGTGATTTGAAAATTAGATGCCAGATGCAAAATTATCAGCTAGTTGACTTCTGCCTGTGTCCTTTACTGCTGCTGTGTGGTTGCCACTAATCATTGTCAGATATGCAGCAGCACACCCCTATCTGCTCATGTGGTTGGTGAATTCTGCAAAGGGACACTGAGTTTACTCACATTCAGCCTCTGTCAGAGCAAGACACTAAGACAGGACTTAAATGCCGGGAGAAAAACAAGCTGACATTGGTGCTCTGTTACCAAGAGAACATTACAGCATGACACACTGCATTCTTTATCAGCTCACCTGATTCATTTCCAGCTGGATGTGTAAACAAGCATCAATTCTTCATGTTAACATTTTTCACACAGTCAGTTCTAAGATGGATGTGTTTAAAAGGTCTATCCTCTTGAGTTTAGGACACATATATATATATGTTGACAATATCTTATAACTGAAAACGTCAATTTCTCCTGTTCTGAAAAGCAGCTTCTTTCCGCACTTGTCCAGTTCCATTGGTTTCCTGAATCTGTTCATGGTTTTCAGAAAGCTTGTCATTATCACAATTTGTCAACTGAGTGTTATCGATGCAGAGCAGCAGAGGTGAGTTGGGCCACCAGCCCAGATATCACCTGATGGGCCACACAGACAAACTGAGTAGTTTCATTTGTCTCCTCTGTTCTAGATGAAGCCTTTAATAGAACTCTATGTTCCCAAGCTAGTTGTTTTCTTTTTTAGAGCTTTTTCACTGTAAAGTTAATTTGTGAGGTTTTGAGATGCCAGTGGATGAAATGTTCTATGTTGGACAAATGTACAACTTTGCTTGTTTCCCAGTTCTTTCTGCTGAGCAAAGGTCAGTGGCTGTTGCTTTGTTTTTACAGTACAGACCATTGATAGATGGACTAACCCTATGAGTGCTCCCCAAAAGTGAAGCCAAACACCACCACCTGGTGGCTGGCTGCAGTAACCTCCATGTTAGTAGATGGGACCTTGTCCAAACTAAAAAGTCAAAGTACACGGCAAATAAATTATCCTCAAAAATTATTTCAGTAATCTTAGAAAGTCAATGAATAAGTTGACGAAATAATTCAGAATCACCAGTTAATCATTGCAGCTCAGTGACTTACATTCTTTTAAGCTTCATGTTTTTTCAGTACAGGTGAGATGTCAATCAGATTATCACATGATTATCATATAATTGCAAAGACTTCAACACAGTCTCCTGCTGCATCTGCATCAGGGTAGGGTCCTGGACCAAACTTGACTGAGTCGTAAATAGTTGATAATTGAATTTAGGCCTCCCAGAGGAAGCTGGCCTTCAGCGGATCATTGTCTGTGGCTTCCTCACTCCTCTGCTGCAGTAATATCCGAGGGTATGGCAGTCATATGAGCCGTGCTGCTGAACGTGCAACCACTTAACGTGACTTTTTCCCTTCTCACATAGTCATGGGACAGGGATGACAGGGAGGATGTGTGTGATTTGGAATTAACGTGTGAGCCTGAGTGTGTGTGTTTATGTTGCCATGTGAAAACCTGAAACTGGTAACTTTAAAACATTTTGTAATATGTCTGTGTTCTGCAGCCAAGTAAATTCAACCAATTCAAAATATGCTTGGAAACCAGTTGTGCCTGTCAACATAACGAGATAATGATTTGCAGTCAGCCATGAGTGCATGTCTGGTATCTGATCTCAAGTAATGATAAATGTTATCTCTCATGCAAACAGTGATGGTTATGTGACAATGACTAATGACATTTCCATCCACCTCTGCTGTGTTAATAATCCAATGTTAGCTTGCTAACCTGCTGAAGTAGAGTGGTGAACATGGTAAACATTGCACTTACTAAACCTCAGCACATTAACAAGCCTCATTAACCATTGTGAGTGTGTTAGCATGGTGATGTTTGCATCTAGATAAAAGCACTGTATTCCCTCTGTCCTCCATCATCTCAGCGAGGGTACTTTTTAAACATATGTGTCCATATAACATTTTATTAACCTAGCTGTCAGTGACCATTGTACGCTATGATGCCTCATGTGAACAGAAAAGTGATGAATAAAAGGGTACATGTGCAAAATAGTATTGTTTTCATCAATATTGTCAAACTTGATAATTTACTGAAGACATTAATTTAATAAACTTAAGAAGTGAATATAGACTAACTGTGGTAGAAAGTCACAACATTTCAAATTCCACATTTACAATACATGCAATATGTGTGACAAATCTGAGGATTGTTACTTTATACTACTTAGCTTAAACAGAGATAATGTAAATTTAGCATCACAACATTTAGCTGACAGCTATTGTTACCAATGACTGTGTAGATGAAGGTTTTACACACACACACGTTTTTTAAACTGCTATTAGTAGTCATACAAATAAAGAAGTTATAAGCTGCTATAATTGATTTATTTTATTGATGCTGGGGAAACAGAAAATTGCACACCATTTTTGACCCAAAACACAAAAAATATAGATTACATCAGATACATCAAGTGATGAACCCTGCAATCTATTTTACTTGGATTTTTTGTTAATTCTTTGGTGCACTATTCGTCAATATTAAAAATGGCCGCAGAGACAGCATGTTGCAGCTAAAGGAGGTCAGAGTTGAATGTGAGCAGATGAAAGCTTGTCCTCAGTGGGAGCTGTCACGATGCCAGGGTGCACGTGAGATAAGCGTGGGTGCCTGTCAGCTCCATTGTCAACCGTGTCACAGACATAAACCCAATGCCTGGAAAATAGTTAAAGTTTAACTGGTATTTTATTAACTGGTGTACATCAACAAGCATCGATTTCTATTCTCCCCAGAGCACATTTCCAAGATTACAGAATGCTGAATAATGACTTTTACAGACACAGGCCTACTTGGAGATCAACCAGTGTTGAAGTAAAACGTTTGGTAACCTAACAATTATTGTTCACGATGTTGTGTTGACCTACATACATACTGTACACATCCGTGCTTAACCTGATGCAGGTGTTTCCTGAATAAAGGGTATATATGAAGTAATCTCCAAATAAGGGGACTTTGACAAACAGGAAACTTGTCTAGTATTTCGTCACAGTGAGGGATTCCTCAAATCAGAGGCAGAGCTCAGACTCAGGGGCCACAAAGGTGCCAGATTTTACACAGGAGGGTGAAGTATTTGTCCCTTACTCAGAAAAGTCATAATTTGTGAGTTTGCTATAACTTTGAGCAAAGACACACATTTAAGTTTTTCTGTTTAGTTTGGTTTGAATTAGTTTTTTGAAACAGAGTGGAAAGTCATGATTGACAGCTGAGGACTCCATTACACAGGAGAAATCAGATAAAGTTATATGCATTCTTTATACAGTATATATATATACCAGTCTATATTTGCAAAGGGAATATATTGGTATTTGTTCTTCCAATAGTGATCCATCTGTTGTAAGTATTTGTTGGTGATGATGTTTAGCATTTTCATTATTAAGAAAGCAACCAACAAACCTTGCCTGATAAGTCAATGTATGAGATTACTGACTGGCCGAAGGCCAACTTTGACTGAATATGAGTCAACCCAAAGCCCCTGACTAAATGTTTGCTCTCAAAGGTCAAACTAACTTTTTATTTAACTATTTCCAGACAGACCTGACATCAAGATTTCAGCCTCTGCTGCTACACCCAAAGCAAAAAGACCAAAAACAGTCTTCCTTGACAAACACACACAGCTTATGTACTTGGAGTTCCTGAAACCATTCACATTCAGCTGCCTTCAGGAAATGCACAGAGAACTTCAGTAGGTGTTACATGTGTGTAAATATGTACACACATGTAACACCTATTTACAGCCCTAAGGCAACAATCGCTCCTTTCTTTTAAAGGAGTCCTCCAGTTACACAACTGAGTTTTAACATTCAGGTTCAGCAACATCTGACACTGTTTTACTTTATTTCACGATCAAACCGCAGATGGACCGTGAGGCATACAACAAACTTGTCCTACATGATAACAGCAGCGCAATACATTTTTATGCTCTACGTTCTCTACGTTTAAAAATATATAGATGTTGCAGCAGTGTCAGAGCCCGGATAGCTCAGTCGGTAGAGCATCAGACTTTTAATCTGAGGGTCCAGGGTTCAAGTCCCTGTTCGGGCGGTAGTATTTTTGCAGCTCAAACATAATAAAGTCTAAATAAATACACTCTATGATAACATATAATAATTCTTCTCCAATCATTTTCCATTATTCTCATTTTCTTCAAAGTCAATCAATCTGTTTCCATCTTTGGTCTCTGTACTTTTTCTATTGTCGACGTCTTCAACAATTAGCCCACTGCCTGAATTTTACCTGTTGATCCCGTCTCTGTGGGATTTGTTCTTTATTTCACTCTATGGTTTTATGTTCCGAGTAAGATGCCGCCAGTGTTATTGTACTTTACCAGGCTGCTAGCTATAGTGAGCTCATTTATTACACTGACAAACGACTGTAACACAGGGATTAACATCGCTATTGGTAAGAGTTATTAAAACCACAGTTTATTAATTCATCGTTACATTCGCTATTTGTTACGTTGTTGGGTTTATTTTGTTTTCCATATACTGCTCGTCTTTATATAAATCAAGGTACACCATAGTAAGGTTAAAGAACATTTTTTTGGCTCCATTTTACATAGAGAGTGTGAATATGTTTTTTCCTATTGAATTTTGGCTGCACCTCATTCAGCTCAGTATAACATCATTATAATGTCAGAGCCTATGCTTATGCACCTGCATCTGTTGTGACCATAGACTGTACATAAAGATTTAAGAAAGGTTGTGATACAAGGCTTCATTTGAGCATGTTTATCAAGTAATAATAAAGTTGAGTAAACTTGTGTGTAACTTAAGTGTAATGCAAGCAGCTGTGGCATATTAGATAGATAGACAGATACTTTACACTGAGCTGAACTGTGTTGGAATTTTTGTTCTACTATTATATGAAAGATAATTGTTATGTGGTTTTACTATAGTATATAGAAATCTATAATAATGGATTTACAATAATTAAATTAATTTGTTTTTAATGTTATATAATTATAGACACAAATACAAGGCAGTGAATACAATTCAGAAATAAAAGCATAATGTAAATGTATTAAAATCAAATTAAATGGTATTGTATTTCTAGATTGTGCATGAATAGACAGATATGAGTCCCCCCCCCCCCTCTCATAGTCTGATGTCCTCAGTTTTAAGAGACAACAACTGTCCTCTGTCCCGCCATCTCCTGAGAGACGAGCGCTGCCCTTCAAAATAAAAGCGCTATCACGTGAACGAGTAGTGGCAGGGCGGGTCCACGGGGCGCCTCGGCCAATCAGCGCCTGTGTTTTGCGGCTTCCCATTGGAGCACGAACACTGGGACCTGGCTCACAGACACCGTCAGTGATTCAAGGTGCGTCAACGTGAGCGAGGCCGAGCCGAGTCCGCAAGCAGTCGCTGTCATTCCTGCACCTCTGGACTTATCCCCCCCCTCCCCACCTACACCGAGGACCGGCGCACTGTGGTGAAAGCTCTCCCCCGGTTCGCAAGAGGGGAAACGCCGCTGCCCCGTCGCTCTGACATCGACCTTTACCACCGGAAACCCGTTAGCTTGGGCAGCTAACGCGAGCTAGCTCAGTTAGCAGTTACATAGCGTCGTTTTTCCTCCCATGCAGCTGACCTCCACCACATCACAGCCGAGTAGCATTCGCTTGCTAGGTTGGGGGGGTCGTCGTCACTCCCCCACCCACCCACCCACCCCTCTCTCCCCGCTGTTTCCCCACGTCCGTCCCCCGTGTGGTGTCCCGTGGACGGCTCTCGAATATGATCCACAATGAGTCAACGAGATACTTTAGTTCATCTGTTTGCTGGAGGGTGAGTAAATGTTCCCCGTGTCATAATTCAGCACAGGTCGCTAGCTAGCTCCGCACACTCCGGAGGGCTAACTGTGGTTACTAGCCGGCGTAGTTAACACGCAACACTCGGGGTGCTTGTGTTGGTGAAACGATGTGTTCGCATGGAGACCTGGTGTTAGCATCGGTGTGTCAGGTGCCAAGCTAACCTGGTCGGGCATGTGTGCACCGGGAGTTGAGCTCAATGTCATACGTCGCAATGACATTTCAACGTATGAACGATAATCCCTTCATGCGTGGGTGATCTGTTCCCGTCCTTGGTTTTCGTGGTAGCTCACTAAATGTTACAGAAGCCGAGGATCAGCTTGAGCAGGTGTTGAATAAAGAGAGCCTGACCCACTCTCAGTGTCACGAGTGCATCCAAACAAATCGTGAGCGAGCTGCCACCAAAGGTCACCCAGAGAACGGTGTTTGAAACCCACAGACACAATGTGTGTGCTCGGATGTGACTGATGCAACATCTAAAAACAGTGGGGACACGGTGGAGCTGCTCTTTTCTCTCCTGCTCCTCTGCCGAGGATGATAGTGGCACGACTTGTGCCCAGTCTGATTAAAACCTGGGACTGTTGTGATTCTTCGTAGACACATTTTTGTCATTATTCCATATGGCCTCGGGCAGATTACCTTGGAAATGAATTGTGACATTGATTGTATTGTATTTGTTGTCTGCCTGGCTCTTCTTAACGCAGTGATTCTCATGCTGTCTGCCTGAAAGCCTTCATTATTTTATTGTGCAGCTTCTCTGATTACTAATTACAGCTGAATGAAGTACACGGATCATTTGATTTGCCTTAATCAGAATCTTAGTTTATTGCTATGTATCATTAAACATACAAGTAATGTTCTACAGTATGTTTGTGCATAAGCATGTATATCACAGTATTTTTAATGTTATGCACAGTACGATGTAATATCACAGCTGAGGGTGAGGACATTTTTTCGTGGTGCAATGATGGGGTCCTAGACAACTACAGTCAACTACTGTTCTTGTTTGCCAGAAGTTTTGATCCTTTTATAAACATGCTTTGCACATGCACTTATTCAAGATATTCATATTTGTGCATTTTAAAACCCTCTATCCAGGACAATAAGCTTATTTCTGCAAACGTAGCGAGCATGCGCTATCTCCAATGCAGTGCTATTTGAGATTGAACCCTAACTAAAGATAACCATTTTCATTCTTGCTTTTGAAATCCTCTCATGGGGTCACATTACATTCAGTTTATTTAAGTACTCCCTTTAGATTATGTACACTACACAGGTGACCTGATAAACCAGAGTTGGTCATAAAGTGACACCCTGGGTGAAGCTGTGTGTCTGCAGGCTGTCGGGTAATGCATGTCTAAAGATCTCGGCTCACAAGTTTGAAAGTCTGTTAGTGCTAAAACGTGTAAATGATTTATTTTAATATTCACAAGTTGTCAAAGTGCAGGTTTTATAAATAGGGGAAACAAGATGAGAAACCAATTAGCACATTTTTCTTGAACAAAAGACCGTAGCCGCTAGGAGTTTTGGCATTTTTTGAATATTCCTTGTATGAAAATATATACATCTTTGATTCTGGTATGTGGTCTGGTGACACAGAACAGAAAGCTTGCTGTCATCCCCAAGAAACACAAAGCATTCCTGACTAGATCTCTGTGTTCCCACACTGGGTTTTTGTCTTGTCTGGATGCCAGAGAGCTTCAGAATTCCACTAATCACACCATTGGCTAATGTATTTATGCATGAAAGTGTGATGACTCTGAGTGTTTTTGCCATTCGAGCACGCTTGCTATCAGTCTGTTCACTGAGACTGTAGAATGTTCACTGTCTCACCTCCACCTTCTCCATCCCTGTGTTTCTGTCAGATGTGGGGGCACGGTAGGAGCCATATTAACTTGCCCCCTAGAAGTAGTGAAGACACGTCTGCAGTCATCTTCCATCACACACTACGTGTCTGAGGTTCATCTCAATACTGTCAACGGGGCCAGTGTGGCCCGCATGACCCCTCCAGGGCCCCTGCACTGTCTCAAGTGAGTACTCAACATTTATGTCCTTTGCACCGATGCAGCTATGTTGAACAGACAGTTTTTATTTTATGTTCATCACACACAGTTATTTTTCAACAAACTATGGTTATCAGAACTAGCTTATGATCTTTATTTGAGCTTTACGTGGAACTGTTCACGAACATCAACCAGCCACAACATTAAAACTAGTTAAATGTTTTTGTACATGTTTTGAGCATTGAATGAAGGCTTACTATTTGTTATTTGGATTTTTGCCTGTGTGTTTTGGTCAGATTGATACTGGAGAAAGAAGGACCTCGCTCACTCTTCAGGGGCTTGGGGCCAAACTTGGTGGGTGTGGCACCTTCCAGGTAAGCTGACTCCTTTCATCTTCATCATATTCTTAGCAACTTGCACCACTTTTGAGTATGACTTGAAAGACTATTAGTGTTGTCCTTAAATGACAGTCATTGGATCTCTTTGAGTACTTCAAATAATTGAATTGTCAAAAGAATGCATATGCCTATCTTTTTTTTTTTTAAATTAATCATTACTGCGTAGACGTAAAGGGAAGATTACTCCTTGTGGCTCTGTTTGAAGGGGTAGGACCACTGGAAAAGATTTGGGACAGGGCATTCATTTTGTTTTGCTTTTTATCACGGAAGAACAATTCATAGCTGTCCTGTGAACTCTTTGCCCGTCCCTTCGTGGTTTAAGTCATTGTCCCTTGACGTTTCTGTTCAATTACATTTACCCACCCTCGTCCCCTAAAACAGGATGTGATGTCACATTTCACCGGTGGGTGATTAATAAACCTTTACAGACTCATTTGTTGTTTTAAGAGGATGAACAGCTGTGAGGAACATCGGTGTTATGTAACCACCACCAAAGTGATCTTTGAGGTCGCTTAGTGACAAGGAAGCATTAGGGGTCCATGGCCATTTATGTCCCATTCATCTTCATGACTTTCACATCAGTTTGTGTGCTGGTGGTGTGCTTCTTGGGACACATGGCAACAGCAGCAGCTTTTTAAGAACAGTTTTGAGTCTATGTCTGGGAAATACTCTGAGCTGACTGCAGTTAGGTAATAAGTTATAACATTCATGATCTTCAATTATCCCTGGTGTCAGTGTTTGGAGCAAAGTGGTTGCTAATGGCAGTGGGCGGAGCAAGCAGGTGCCAGCGCTAAGCATTCGTAAAGTGTTTGGCTTTCTTGCTACGTGAATGCTGGTGCAGATCAATGCAAGTGAAGTCAACAAGGCCTATCTGAACTGTGACGTAGATTTAAAGATCAGCATCATTAACAGCCTAAAAAAGATGAATAAGATTATGAAATTAAACAGTTATATTAAAGCTGACAACCCTGACTGATCATTAAGCTAAACCAGACAGTGTTATTAGTTAATGAAGTGTAATTAATAAGTTACACTCCTACAGGAGGTAAATAGTGGACTGAGACTCATCAGCTTTACATGAAAACACAAAAAATATCCCTTGTACATGTGTAACATGCATTGACCTTTCTTTTCTTTTTTTTATACCTACAACAGAGCAATCTACTTTGCTGCTTACTCTACTGCCAAAGAGAAATTGAACGGTGTGTTGGAACCTGACTCCACACAGGTACACATGGTGTCGGCTGGAATGGCAGGTAACTGTATATCCGAGCACCACCATGTTTTGTTTTTCAACACATTGTAACGTAGTAAACATTTGCAGCGTACTTGTGAGAAAAGCTGAGTTAACAGACCCGTTACAGTGCTGGTAGGTTGAGATGAATAGAGGTGGTACATGCAGGAACAGGCATGTAGGTGCTATCTGCATTCGTAATGCCATTGATCCCTCTGCAGAGAGCATGCAGTGATAGAACCAACTTGTGTTTGGTTGGAAGGACTTCTCTTTTGTAACACTCCTGAAGCCCCTGTGTCTGCCAAAAGTTATCCTGTTTCCATCACGTTATTCCTAGGTGTACTGCTACAGCAATCCTCGGGTTGTTTAATTAACGTATCATGTTACGAGGCCACGTTTAAATTTTAAATCATTACTCTCAAATTCTTTGTATGTCAAGAGTAGGTCATCTGCTATTGTGTCAGTGTGATCCTGCTGGGAGTTTAGGACCATTAAAATGTGGGTCAGACAAGCAGCTGCATCATCTCTCTCTCTGTGTGTGTGTGTGTGTGT